ACTCTCTAGTTCCATCCACATCATTGCAAACGGTAAGATTTCTTTTTTTTTGTTTTTGTGGCTGAGTAGTATTCCAGTGTATGTATGTACCACATCTTCTTTATCCATTTGGTCCCTGCCCACCAATATTTATAATAGCAATGTCCACAATAGCCAAAATATGGAAAGAGCCCAGATGTCCTTCAACAGATGAATGGATAAAGAACATGTGGCACCTATTTCTAATATGAGTTATTTTAAGGAAGTGAAGGAGGAAGTCAATGTCAAGAGCTGAAAGAGACTAGGGCAGAGGAGAAGGAAAATGAAGATGAGGACCCAGCCCAGACTGGCGACTGCAGATGTGTTATTTCAGATCGCTAAACCTGCCTTCCTAACAGAATCTCCTGGGGAAGTTTAAACAATACTTATTCCCAGTTTCTCACCCAAGAGATACTGATTGTTCTGGACAGGACCGTTTTTGAAAGCCCCCTAGCTGATTCTAATGACCAGCTGCAGTTCAGAAGGTACTGCCCTGGTCCCTTCGGTTCTGTGCATTTGCAACTGCAGGGTTCAGCAGTCCAGGTATGAAGCAGGGAGGCAGGTGGTTGAATTGATCAGAGCTGCAGTTCTGGGCAGATTCAGAGGAAGGACAAGGGAAGGACATTGAAGGGGTGGTCTAGAGTCTTGGCTGAGACAAGAAAATGGAGACATGAGGTAATAAAAAGATTATAAGAAAATAGGGTAGCCAAGGAGTGGTGAACACATATGGAAAGAGTAAGAGGGTGATTGACCTGGACACAATGAAGAAAAGAGCATCCTCTTTCAACTTTTGGATGATCTAAAGCCACTCCTTAGGTAACATGGCCTTGAAAATACTTTTTATTTATTTATTTTTTTGGAGAAAGAATGTGAGAGAGAGGTGCGGGGATGGGCTGAAGAAGAGGGAGAGAGAGAATCTCAAGGGAGAGGGAGAGAGAGAATCTCAAGCAGGCTCCATGCCCAGCATGGAATCCAATGTGGGGCTTGATCTCACGATCCTGAAATCATGACCTGAGCTGAAACCAAGAGTTAGATGCTTAACCAACTGAGCTGCCCTGGTGCCCCCAGAATACTTTTTAAATTATTTCAGTGAAAAACTATAAAAAATAGAAAATAGAGTTTATTTATTTAAGATTATTTATTTATTTATTTATTTGAGAGATAGTGCACAAGAGAGAGGACACAAGCAGGGGGAGTGGCAGAGGCTGAGGGAGAAGCAGGCTCCCCATTAAGCAGGGAGTCCGATGCAGAGTTGCATCCCAGGATCCTGAGATTATGACCTGAGCAGGTGCTTGACTAAGTAAGCCACCCAGGTGCCCCAAAAATAGAGTTTCTAGAGAAGCAGCAATGAGGTCAATGCTTCAACTCTAGAGGAGCAGAAAGTGTAGACAGTGGGGAAGAAGTCTGCATTAAAAATATACCTGTATCTATTTATATAAAGTTGCTTATTCTTCATGTATCAGCCTCAGTTTATTAGTAACTAAGAATATTTAGCAACTAAGGAGGTGATGGAATCTTCAAGTTCAATGTGTATTAGGGAGTATGATTTTGAGATAATCCCTCCTCTGGAAGGAGCGACATGAATAATGCTTTTCTCTAAAGAAGAGATGTGATTAGTAAAATTTAGGGACTCCAGGTATATTATTATTAAGTTAGTAGAATGACCTTAAGTAATCTGCATATAGTGTGAGCTTTTAAACAATAGAGGCCCCAGAATGAGATGAATGATACACAAGGCACAAACAGACCTTGAAACAAAACCTGTTTATATTTCTGTAAGAGTCCAGGACAGAAATGTGAACTATTCTTCTTTTTTTTTTTTTAAGAAGGAATATTTATTACCAATGTGATAATACAAAGAATATGAGCATTGTTCCAAAAGAAATGTGAACTATTCTTAACAGAAGAAGTAACAGTAAGATGGGGAAGGGAGCAGAGGCCTTTAGATCCCGCAGCCACACAAATAACAAAGTTTTGATAACGGCCTGAGAGAAGAGAAAGAAAAACGAGTTCTAAGAATGCTCACGGTATTTCACAAGGAGTCCTAGAAAAAAGGTTGAGCGTTATTCATTGGAATTTTCCCCATTGTTCTCTCTCATTAAAACTGGCCCTGTTTTGTCTCCCTCTGAGACTGTTTGAATTGTAGATTCTGATGTCCTCTGAACTTTGTTCTTGATAAAAGTTGGGCAAAAAACACATGCCATACACAACTGTGGACCTGAGATGTGAGACTCATGATAGTTCTGGAGAGAGCTTCCTGCCCTAATGCTGAAAAAGGAAGACAACTGTTCAAACTGACCAGGAGCAAAATATTTCCATGGTTAGTCATTAATATTTACTAAGAGACATCAATGAACTGCTAGCTTCTTAGATTCAAGGAGTATTTCGAAAGATCCTGTTTCCCATTCCCATCAGGCTGACAGAGCTGAAGGACACAGAACCCAGGATTGGTCTCCATCAGGACACTTCACCAATATAGTTCCTGGAAAAAAAAACAGTTTTTCTGTATGTTTGTCCTCAAATGATAGGGCTTTTGAGTAAGCTAAAACTGAGCATATGACAAATTAGGAAGAATATGGTGGAGTTTTATTTTTTCTGTCTAGATTTCCCTCTATGACTTTTTTCTTCCTTCTTGCAAATGTCAGACTATATATCTAGGCATTTATGATTCAGAGTTCTCTTTGATTTGAACACTTTTATAAAGGGGATAGTTTTAAATGACTGAGGTCTGTGTTCCTTTTTCCTTCCCAACAGGCTGAGTCTGAGTCTGAGTAAATTTATGGGGCCTCTCTATTACAACTAGCTGGCTTGTGTTGCATTCATGTTACCCAGATCACTCTTCCTTCATAACTGAAATACATAAAAACTAAAATATGGCTCAAGGGGTTTCAGTTGAACCCCATATATTTGAAGGGAATTTTTGAGCACAGAATGTAAAGGCTATCTTGTTCTCAGGGGTCTGATGTGACAGCAAAACAGATTCGAAAAGAATAATGCTCCTCACTTCTAATGTGAAACAACCCAGGGAGCTGATTCATTGAGCTCCATTTGGGAGGAAGACAGGTTGGGATCCTGAATAAAGCACCTCACGCACCTCTGACCCAGGAAGTGAAATAATGATGAGGTGACACGGAATAACAGGAAGGAAGGGAATGAAATCTGCATGACTACGTCTACAGGGAGAAGTGGACAGACCCCCCCCCACCCCACCCCCACTTTTTTCGTGTGGCCAAACATACTGAGGAAAGGTAGACTGGATTGACTGAATGCTAATATACCCAAGAATCAAACATGAAAGTAAGAGAGTAGTATGTTTAGTTTCTACATGGCTACCAGCAACATTTTTTCAGTATAATCACGCCCAACTCAACACAATTAATCTAGTATTTGGTAAGTTTTCTGACTTTTGCAGAGAAAAAAATTGCTTTAATAAGAAACCCAATCAGCCTAGTTAAAATCTGCTGTATTTTGAACGTCCACATCATCCTTGGACTTTCATTTTCACAGGATTTAGCAAAGTTCTTGAACCACTTGGAAATAAAGACACAAACCACACAACTGTGTGTATTACTCATAGAGTTAACTCTGTTTTTCTCTTGATGCAGCTGTTTTGATGGCAGGAACCAAATGATACTTTATGTTATTTAGAAGTAGGGACAACTTCACACCTATTAGAGTAGCTAAGATGAAAAATAGTGACAGTACCAAATGCTGGCAAGAGTGCAGAGAAAGTGGATCTCTCATACATTCCTGGTGGGAATGTGAAATTGTACAGCCATTTTGGAAAGTAGTTTGAGTTTCTTGAAAAATTAAACATACATGAGCGATATGATTCAGCAATCATACTCCTGGGTATTTACCTCAGAGAAATGAAAACTATATCCACCCAAAGACTTATTCATAAATGTTCATAGCAACTTTGTAGGTAATAGGGAAAAACTGCAAACAACCTAGATGTCCTTCCATGTAACAACGGCTAAACAAACTTTGGCATATTCATAACATGGAATGACTACTCAGCAATAAAAGGGAATGGACTTTTAAAAAATTTTATTTATTTATTTGACAGAGAGACACTGCCAGCAGGGGCAGAGGGAGAAGCAGAATCCTCACTGAGCAGGGAGCCGGACAAGGGGCTCCATCCCAGGACCCTGAGATCATGACCTGAGCCAAAGGCAGATGCTTAACCAACTGAGACACCCAGGTGCCCCAAGGGAATGAACTTATAGCACACACCAGGGAATTGTGCTGAGTGAAAAAAAAAGCCAATCTCAAAAGGTCGTATGCTGCATGATTCCATTTATACAGTATTCTCAAAATGATAAAATTATAGGGACTGAGAACAGATCAGTGATTGCCAGGGAGGGGTGGAGTGAGGGAGAGTGAGTGTGATTATCAAAGAGTAATGCAAGGGAGATCTTTTCAGTGATGGAACAGTTCCCTATCTTGACTGTGGTGGTGGTTACATGAGTCTGCACATGTGATCAAACTGCCCAGAACTGTACACGCACACTCACATGCACATAATACAGGTAAAACCGGTGAAACCTGAATAAGGTAAGTGAATTGCAACAATGTCATTTTTCCTAGTTTGGAAATTGTACTACAATTAATGGAAGATATTATCATTGGGAGAAATTGGGTGAAAAGTACATAGTACCTCTTTAATATTTTTGCAACTTTCTGTGAATCTATAGTCCCTTTAAAATAAGAAGTTAAAAAAATGGAGTATAACATGATAATGGGGCCACTCTTTGAAAAACTGTCTGAAATATGTGACCCAACTTTTCTGTTTTGTGTGGAGATAACAAATCCAAAGTGACAACTTATAGATCTCTATAGCTATAAAAATGGAAATGATTCCCAAACATAAACTGATTCCTTTGTGTGAACACTCTATTTTTATGTTTCTGGAAACTGACTTGATGTGTTTATTGACACTTTCTTCTAACTGTGAAATGTCTGCTTTTCCTAATGAAAAGTGTTCCAGAAAACCAAGCAATGACATCTAGTGCTGTACAACTTCAAGATGCTCTTCCATTGTTTGCTTTGTACCCTTGCCACATCTACTTTCTGAAGACACGCATCAGTTGATAATAGCCACTGGGGGTCAGACTTCCACATGGCCTTTACCAAACATATGATTTCATACCCAGTGCAACGGCAGAAGCCCAGACCCACAGATTAACAGAACTCAAACCTTCCTTCCTTCTTGTGAGCACACCAAGGCAGACAGAGATATATATGTTCATGGTAATTACCCAATTCAGAATGCAAACATATTCAGGGACTGTGGAAGAGACACCAGAGTAGTTTTATATAAATCTTGGTTAAATATATCACAGTTAATGAGGAATTCATCAGTGGGCCAGTGTGTTCTCTGTCCTCTGGAGATACAACCGTCCTTTCTACAGTCTGGGCAAGTGGAGCCCCTGCCCTGGGCCCCTTATTTTAGAAGCCCCACACTGGTCCCTCCCAGCCATGCCCTTCACCATAGGACAAGAATCGCAAATCTTTTCCAAATGGCTGGAGAAATCCCAGATTTCTTCCCAGTAGCTAGTTATCACAGAGTGAAATTTTGGGCAATGATAAGCAGAGGAAACCTCTGAAAGAGACCTTCAGAAGAAGCAGATGCTTGCTTCCTCGGGCTGAGGACGATGGAGCGAAGTTTAAAAGGGAGGACTATTATGAAGCATAGAAGATAAAAGGGGAAAAAACCAAGATCAGAACTGTCAGATTCTAGAAATTGGTTTGAATTTCTGTGTTCGAACAACATATTGCTGAATCTAACTGCCAGGACATGACACAAAAATGTCACTAGCTGAGCTCCTGCATTGCAGTGTGAGGATGACAGGGACGGGCTCCAACGCTACACCATGCACACTGATCCAGAAAAGAAGTTGCTAATCACCAGTGTTGCTGGTGATTCTTCTCTAAAAGATGGACGTGGGTGAGTCACAAGGGGACTTCCTGTGTTGCTGCCATTACAAAACCAATTACTCAGTACAGAGAGGGAAGTGATTGTATCTTCCTAGGGACCAGGGAACGAATTCCCAAGTGGTCAGCCTCACAAATCAGCGTTCCTTGGTCTACGGGCTTCAGTGACTGCATCTTTTTTCTCTTCCTATATTTCTAAATGATATCCAGACTCCGGGACATACATGTAACTAAAATGGTCCCAGATACTGATGCCACCTATTCTCACATTTAAGAGAGTCTCCATTTAGCTTGTACCATGGGATTTCCAAGGTTCCTTAGTGTCTCTTGCAAACTTTCATATCCCTGCTTTTCAAGATGAGTTGTGATGTCATCACTTAGGACTGAAGAACACTAAGCTAACAGTCTAGCACAGATTAAAAGAATTTTCCTGAGTGTCACAATGCACAGCTCGCATCAATGGTAATAAATATGGCCGTGCCCTAAGTGAAGCAGTAACAATTAAACCTGTCAACTTTAACTGAGGTTGAGAAAACAAAAGATGTTCCAGTTTACAGTGGCCCCATGCCAGGAGACTGCTGAGACTGGAGAAAAATCAGACTGCAGACTGAAGAATGCTATCTGCTAAGAAGAATGTGCTAATGAAAATTTTTAGGAACAGCAGCTTTCTCAAAGTCTCTTCCAGAATGTTAATCAGCCAGGACCTCAAAGTATTACTGGTCACTAAGTATTCTCTGGCAGGTGCAAGGAGGAGAAACACACAAAATCTCCCTTGAGAAAATTTGGAGGGAATACAATCTGACGTTATATGCTAGCTGTTAACTTTTTTCAATAACTATAAATTAACTTGTATTGATGAAAGATTGAAATATCACCTAGACCTTGGAGGATGTAAGTATAGCTTATAGAGGAGGCAGGGGCAAAAAAGGAAGAATAATGCTGCCCTGAGAATGAACTTGAGGTTTTCTGGCCTACTGCAAGATTAAATAAACGTTCTCTGCTGTTGGCAAAAAAGTTAATTTTAATTCTCAGCTTCTGTGAGTTGGTATCAATCTCCTCTTAGGTCAATTCTTTTGATCAAAATTCCTGCTCTAAATGTTCTTTTGAGGAGTCGGGTAAAAAATTGTGATTCTCAGTAACCTATTTATCCAGCTCCGACTCCAGAAGTTCTGAGCTACATAAGCAAGTATGACGGAGTCAAAGTCACACGTAGCAGCAAGAGTAGAAAGCCACTTTGTTAAAACCTGTTGTATCTGAAGCCAAATGCTGGGTTACAGGGCTGAAATTCTCATTGTTGTAGTCCCCTGTGTTCAGAGAGGTAAACACCCAGGTGCAGACATAAAGTCTCCTATCCTGTATTCACAGGTGTTCAATATTTTTGAGGGCACCAGAGGGTGGCTGGGTTGTGGCAAAGCCATGCAATGTAGTGGATCCAGACACGGGCTTTGCTTCCAGAAGGATCACATCACACACAGGTTACTCACATTTCTGAAGCTGAGTTTCAAATTTGTAAATGGAAAGACTCACTCTTATTGTAAAGTTGTGAAAATTGAGGAAAATGTTAAGAGTCTGCACATGTTTTGTGGACGGTAGCTCCGGCCCCCTAAACATGTTGAACGAATACCCCCTGAAAAGTGATCAGGCCTGGCCATGTGTTATTGTAGGGTTACCTCAAGTCATGAACTCAGTCTGCTGGCTTCACTGTGAGAAGCCATTCTAAAATGTCCGAAGTCCTTGCAATCTCTCGTTTCTTGATAGTGTTTTCACTGGACTCTGTAGGCCAGGAGTACGAGTTTCCTTTTAAGAAGTGCTGTTTTCTCTTCATGCAGTGACTGAGAATCGTCAGGAAGCAGGCAGCAAGTGGAGGCTGAAACAAGTCACTGGAGATTTCTTTGATGTTAAAGGCTTGCAGTACACGCTTGTCTCTGCTGCGGTTGGTTTCCTTGTTATCTGCTGCTTCCTAGCATGGCTCTTCTCTCCTCCTTACCATCATGGAAACGAATGTGACCTTGAAACGTCTTTTGTGCCATTTCTCTTCTGGTTCGATGTCATGCAGTGTCTGTGGAGAATTAGAGGTAACTCTAATTCATCTTTCATTCCTCACTTTTTGTCCTCCAAACCTGATAACTGTTTCCTTCCTAGGAAAGATAAAATTCCAGAGCCTCTCCTCCTGTTGAACTCCATTCTCCTTTCACTTCTGAGCGGTGAACCACCTCATAATTATTATTCTTTGCATGAAACTCTCCCGTTAGACTTCCTGTTCTTTTATTTGTTCTTGAGGATAAGAGAATGAAATGTGAGCTAGAAGATAATATTATAAAGCCCATTTTCATCTGAATGAACAAGGCACCAAAAGAGTTCTTATTAAGGCTTCAGGGTCACGGTGGGGGTGGAAGGGAAGGATATACTCAATATATATACACATATATATATGTATATATATGGGGGAGGGGAGGGAGGTCTTTAGTAGGAGGCCATAGGGCTCTGGCCTTAAGTATTTGTGTGAACACAGAGAAGCTATCAAATTTCGTGATGAACCAAAATGTGGAAAGATAATTAAGGTAAAAATTGAAAGAAGAAAAAAGAAAATTATTTCAGCATATTAGAGTTATGGACTAATGCCAAGAAAACAGAAGTTAATAGGAATGAATGCAAACGTGTACATTTGATATTAAAAAGCAGTGGTGCTATAGTATGAGAAAATTAAATGGTTTTTTTATTTAAAGATTTTATTTATTTATTTGACAGACAGAGATCACAAGTAGGCAGAGAGGCAGGCAGAGAGAGAGAAGGGGAAGCAGGCTCCCTGCTGAGCAGAGAGCCCAATGCGGGGCTCGATCCCAGGACCCTGAGATCATGACCCGAGCCGAAGGCAGAAGCTTAACCCACTGAGCCACCCAGGCGCTCCAGAAAATTAAATGTTTTTTTAAAAACCCACAATGATGGGGATATGTGAAAGGGACACCAGAGCTAACTAAAAGCTCCCAATGACAAAGCTAGAACAGTATGAGCAACATGATAAATAGTATTAGATCATGACCTAAATATAAAATGTACTGGATTATAACCCAAATAAAAAATAAATATCCATGAGTCCATATTAATATAAATAAATGATTGAACAAATTAATAACTCTGAGGGAAGAGAAATCTGCTATATAGAAGAATTCCAAATAACTTGCATAGATACTCCATCTGCATGGTGGAACATAACTCTCAAATCCTTAAGTAAAGGCTGTGCATGGTGACTTCCTTCAAAAGAGTACAGTATGGAAAGGAAGAAACAAAAAGTAACTTTGTGGAGGAGAAACCTTATCAGCCAGGTAACCGAGGTCTACTTCAATAGTGGTAAGTCATTGTCATGTTGATAGTATGTACTCTTGATTTGTGCGATGAGGATGGCAGTTACCTCTAAGGTCTTTGTCCCCAAAACACATAACCCCAGTCTAATCATGAGAATAGCAGATAAATGCTAATGGGGGGGCATTTTACAAAACCCTTAATCAGAACTCCTCAACACTCCCAAGAGCATCAAAAACAAGGAAGGTCTGAGAAACTGTCATGGCCAAGAGGAGTCTGAGGAGACATGGTAATTAAATGTGATGTAGTATCTTGGAGGGGAACCTTCAACAGTAAATGGACATTAGGTAAAAATGAAGGAAATTTGAATAAGGTAGTTAATAACCAATATTAATTCATTAGTTGTGACAAGTGTACTATACTAACATAAGCACTCTTTTTATTATCAGTGCGATTTTTCTGTAAGTCTATCCTATTCTAAAACACAAGGTTTATTTCATAAAAAGTAACTGAAAAGGTGAGGAATATATTAGATTTTATTTTGAAGCACAACACATGAAAAGTATTTGGGAATGTTAACCAAAGTAAAGTTTAATAGCTGACAAAGTAGCAGAATTTTGTCCCAACTACCAGAAGCAATAGACCCATTCTTTTGTGTGTCCCTGGTGAGATGAAAACCTGGAGTATCATATTCAATTTTGAGAATTAGAGAACTCTACTATTAAAATGCAGTATGCCTAGACAAAGTCAGTAAGAAAGATAAAGGTTTAAACATTATTTCATAAAAGAAATGTTGCCTTAGTGTGCGATCCCCATGAAAACAGAGCAGAGCCTTAACGAGGACTTAAAAGCAGGTTGTTTTTTCGAGAAGTGATTCCATGAAACAGAAGTAAGAGATTTAAGAGAATGAAATGGGAAAGGAGAGAAAGTTGTAAGATGCTTTCTTGCT